GTTTTATTGCTGGAGTCCTTCCAAATTCTTTGATAAATACATCATCTGGTCCCTATGGTTATAAACAGCTATACCAGGAGCAATAACTTCTGAAAACTGATCCATCACAGGCCTATCCCTTTCCTTCTGGCATGTCAAGAAGGCAGGAGGAGCTAAAACCTACCAGCTACTGTTTCTCACAGCGGGCAGCAAGAGCTCTCACAGACAGCTGGGAGAAAAATATAAAAATGCTAACGAAAAATCAGCTCACGGGCCATTTCTGGCACGTATGTTATCTACATTACTACTGATTTCACTTGACTTAGTCACTTTGAACCTATCTGCTTCTAAATAAAACTGTGATATAGACCTCCCCTCCATAAAGTTCTGTCTAGTAAAGAAATCGTATCTCTGCAATTATTATTTATTCTTGAGTATATTTGATGTCACTCACCGTTTATCTAGCTTCCTTCCTTTGTTGCAAAGAAACTGCTATTACTTCTTTCTGAATTGTTTTACTAGACCCTCCTCCCCCTCAAATTCCCTTTAAGGGTGCCTAATTTTGCTTCTTCCATCTTTATTCACCACATATTGTATGCATCCCTATTGTCTTCACTTTGGCTGTTTTTATCTTATGAAAGATACCAATTTCCGTTACTCGCTTGGCATGTGCACGTTATGTGTGTTATTCTTCCCCCTTCTGTGGTGAACACTGATGTTTTCATCCTTCTTACACTGATCCTACAAATTCATAAACATTAATTTACTAATTTTAAGACTTAAAACACTATCAGCTTTGTAAGCTATAATTTTCAAAACACTGACTTATATGACATTTTATACTTCTTATTGAAGTATGAAGGTATTTAATTATTCTTGTATGATCCTTGCTATTTTTAGTAATAACCATTAGAAAGACAATCGACATTTTTAAATCAAATTGTAAGGATAAAATTTAATAAAAGTTTAAAAGGATACAACATCTAGTAAAAGTGCTTTGCTGATGCTCTAAGTGAAAATCTATTTAAAAGAAGGTGAAAGGTAGCTTCGCTCTGGAAATACACGATTACCTTCCCACTCATCTTTGATGTGGTCTCTGACGTTGAGATTGATGGTAATGTCAGCACGGACTCGGGTTGGCCAGTTCTCACCGATGTTGGGCTTG